AGAAGGACCCACAACGAAGAAGATACAACTATGTACTAGGGGGCTTTGGGGAGAAAAACGAAAAAAATAAAATCTTTAAAAAAAAAAAAAAGAAAAGCAACTCCAGTGCCAATGAAGTTATACTATCAATTAATACTTAAAATTGAATATAACACATCATACTTAGAAACAAAACAAGGATGTTTGTTTTTACCACCTCTATTGGAGGTTCTAGACAGGGTAATTAGGCAAGAAAAATAAATAAAGGGCATTCTATTTGGAAAGGAAGAAGTACAACTATTTCTATTTGCAGGTGACATGTAGAAAATCCAAAGGAATCTACACAAAAAACTCTTAAAGCTAATAAATGATTCAGTAAGGCTGCAGGACAGAAGATCAATACCTAAAAATCCATTATATTCCCACACACTAGCAATGAAAAAATCCATAAATAAAATTAAGAAAACAATTCCATTTACAAGAGCATTAAAAGAATAAAATACTTAGGAATAAATTTAACAAAAGAATTATGACTTGTACACCGAAAATTACAAAATATTATTGAACAAAATTAAAGATACAAACTGTTGGAAAGACACCCTGTGTTCATGGATTGGAAGACATAATACTGATAAGCTGGCAATGCTCCCCAAATTTACCGATATTCTTATCAAAATTCCAACTGCCTTTTTGTTGTGTGCAGGAATTGATAAGCTGATCTTAAAATTAATACGGAAATGCAAAGAACCTAGAATAGCCAAAATTAACTTAAAAAGTTAAAGGACTTACATTTTAAAACTTATTACATAGTTACAGTAATCAAGACTATGTGGCAATGGCATAAGGATATACACACAGATCAATGGAAGAGAATTATGAATCCAGAAACAAATCCATAGATTTATCATTAACTGATTTTCTACAAGTGTGCCAAGACCATTCAATGTAGAAAGAATAGTGTTTTCAACAAATAGTGATGGTACAATCAGATATCCACATGCGAAAGAATGAAGTTGGGCCCTTACCTCCCACAATACACTAAATTAACTTAAAATGGATCAAGGACTTAAATGCAAGAGCTAAAACTACAAAACTCTTACAAGAAAACATGCAAATCCTCGTGACCTTGGATTAGGCAATGGTTTCTTAGATATGAAATCAAAAGCATAAGTAACAAAAGAAAAAACATATAAATCAGACTTTTGTGCTTCAAAGGAGATTATCAAGAAAGTGAAAAGACAATCCACAGAATAGGAGAACAGTTTTACAAATCATGTATCTGATAAAGAACTTGTCTCTAGAATATACAAAAAACTCTTCCAAATTACTAATACAAGACAATAATCCAATTTAAAATGGGCAAAGGATCCGAATAGACAGTTCTCCAAAGAAGACATAAAAACAGCCAATAAGCACATGAAGAGATGCTCAACATCGTTAGTCACTGAATATAGGCAAATCAAAGCTATCGTGAGATATCACCTCATATCCACTAGGATGGCTATTAACAAAAACACCAAAACATTATTGATGAGGAATAACAAGACGGGCGAGGACTCAGAGAAACTGGAACTTTAATACACTGCTGGTGGAAACGTAAAATGGTGCATCTGATAGGGAAAACAGGTGGTTCCTCAAAACCCTAAATATAGAGTTATCATATGACCTAGCAATTCCACCACTAGGTATATATCCCAAAAAAATGAAAGCAGGGACTTGATCAGATACTTGTATGCCAATGTTTATCACAGTATCATTCACAATAGCCAAAAGGTAGAAATGACCCAAATGTCTAGCAACAGAAGGATGAATAAACAAAATACGGTATACATATATAATGGAATATCATTCAGCCATAAAAAGGAATGAAGTTGTGATATATGCTAAAATACGGATGAAGCTTGAAAACATGCTAAGTGAAAGAAGCCAAACACAAAAGGCCACATATTGCATGATTCTGTGTATATGAATGGTCAACAACAGATCAATCCCTAGTGACAGAAAGTAGACTAATGGCTGCCAGAGGCTGAAGGAAGAGCAGGATGGGGAGTGATTGCTAATAGGTTACAAGGTTTCTTTATAGGGTGATGAAAATGTTCTGAAATTAGAAAGTGGTGGTGACGGCACAACGCTGTGAATAAACTAAAAATCACTGAACTGTGCACTTTAAAAGGGTAGATTTTGTGGTATGCGAATGTCTCAACATAAAATTTTCTTAAAGTGAAAAGGTAGAAACAGGTGAAATATAACACAAACACAAATTAAAACAATGTGTTAACATTACGTTAACGAAAGATTAAAAAGTTTGTTAATACACTGCTGGTGACAGAGTGGGGTAAAAACATTGATACTTTAAGTATAAATGGGTAAAACTCTACGAAGTGCAATTCGGCAAATTGATCAAATCTAAACTGACACCCTCTGCACAATCTATGTATATGAATATATTCTGATTATATACTTGAACGTACACTAAAATGTTCAGTAGGGCATTGATTTTACATGGTAAAAGTTTGTAAACAATACAGATATGCTTGAATATGCATAGAATGTTTAAAGAAGAATATATTTGAAACTACTAACACTTTCTGCCTTAGGCAAGGGGAACTGGAAGACTGGGAACAGGGGTGGAAGAAAGGGAAGAAGGCGTGACTTCCACTGGATACCCTTCTGTATCTTTTGAATTTTGTAAAACATATCTATTCAATTAATTACTTAATTTTGGGAAGTATGATGACTACAGCCAAAAAAAAAAAAGAATGTTCTAAGGCAGCAGCTGCAATTTTTCTTATTTTTATTCATATTTATAAATGAATAGTATATTTATACACAGCTAGCATTAAATGATCAGGAAATTAACAAAGGAATAACAAATAAGTTTAAAAAACATTCTGTAATATATTTTAAATTTTAGAATTAAATTCCTCAGTCTCTTAAAAGCTTAAGGTTGTTTTACTCAAACAAAACACATGGTTTTTACCTGCACAAAGCAAGAGTCACAGAGAATAGTTACTACCCAGACATTTCACACAGAGTTCTATACGTATGATAAAGTAGCACATTCTGACAAATCCTGCTTAAAGAATTGGAATTTATCCTCTTTCCCTATGTACAGAAAAGGGCTAACACATGAGGTCTAAGGCTGCTATCACTGGAAGGGTCTTAGCAGGCATTTGGGAAATTGATTTTAGGAGTGTTCCTACAATCCCGTAACTGAAAGGGTCCTTTACTGTGGCTAGATTTTCTAGAGACAACCCGTTTTTGCTGAACACCTGCTTTCCTTCTGGGACTTAGGTGCTGGACAGAGGGTGCCTATGTGACCCATCTCCAACAAAAAACTTCACACTGACTGAGTCCAGAATGCACTTCCTTGGCCAGAAACGCTGCATACATGTTGCTGCATTTTCATTGATAGAGGAAAAGACTGCTCTGTGTGATCCCTCATGGGAGGAAGAAAGTGTAAGGAAATTTAAACATGGATTCCCCTAGACATACAGCCATACAATCTGACTGCAGATCCTGACTTACCACAAGGCTGTAATAAACCTTAGCCATGAGTACAACAATATGCTGAGTCTTGTGACTCCTCCTGGCAAATCTCCCAACATGGGTAGTAAGTGGTCTTGGAGATCTCCAACATACCTTGCTTGGCAGGAAAAATATTTTTTGAATAATACGTCATACAAACTTGAAATCACACAACTTTTGCTCTAAGTTTGCCGCTTGTATGCTAATCTTGCTTTTAATTTGTTGATATTTCCCTTAAAATTTATGTGTATTTATTTTCTTTGTTGATATTATCATTTTCTGTGTTATTCATTAACTTTCAGTTAAAGAGGTTGTTTTTATTTTCCTGAGGAAGATTAGCCCTGAGCTAACATCTGTTGCCAGTCTTCCTCTTTTTTCTGCTTGAGGAAGATTAGCCCTGAGCTAACATCTGTGCCAGTCTTCCTCCACTTTATAGGTAGGTTGCCACCACAGCATGGCTGATGAGTGTTGTAGGTCCATGCCTGGGATCTGAACCCACAAACCTGGGCTGCTGAAGCGGAGCACATCGAACTTAACAACTATGCCAGGGGGCTGGCCCCTAAAAGGGTTTTAAAATCAAAGTGTTTAATCACTGAGTCTGCCCTTAAGCAAAACATAAGTTAACAAAGAGAACAAGAGATGTAGAAAAAAATGTAAAGAAGAAAATACTGACAAAAGTACAAACAAAATCCTGTTTGACTAAGTATTCTAAATCAGTGTGAAAGATAACACTGACTGAAAAGAAGTACAGAAGAGTATTTTTGGTTTATACTAAGTATTATTATTTGAAGTTTTGCAAAATCATCAAATATTTGATACACCCATATTCATATAAATACAAACAATATAAAGCCAAATAAAACATTTTAAAGTACAGACTGAAATCGACTAGAGTTCAAAAAGCGGAGGAGAGGATTTTTACAGTCTATGAAATTATATGCCATATGATTAAAAAAACTGCACGGGCATTACTTTTACTTAACCACCTTCAGAGACATTTTCCTTTGGGGTGAAAAATGTTACATCAGATTCTGCTGTTCTGGCTATTTATCTTTAAGGAAAAGAGGGCTTTTTAACAAAGTAAGTTTAGAGAGAAGCACGAATCAAGTTTAAGTTACAAAGTTATAACTATTTTAATATGTGAACATACATACAAACCCGGTTACTAAAAATCTAGTCACTCAATTAGACTTCTAAAATGACTCTTTGAATATATGGCATTGTGTGCATGACCACTGGTCAGAGACAGCCTTTAGTGAAAATTAATAATTTTAATTTAAAAATAAAACCATACATTTCTATTTCGACATTTCTGGTTTGCATAAGTATGGGAAAAACAACCAAAAAAGGACAGCATTATTTCATTTACTTTAACAATTACAGCTCAGTGATAGAACATCATAAGTACAGGTATTAGGAAAAATAATGCTGTGATCTTTGTATCTGTATCAAAAGTTGAACAAGAAAAGCAGAATGTTTTAAATGGAACTTACATAAGTCGGTGTTTCCAAGCTATCTGTATTGACCAGTACTGGAGGAGGATTCGCCTTAAAGAAAGAATTAGAAATGTGTTAGCTTAACAGGAAAACTCACATATTACATATTAATGTTTACAAACGGTAGAAGCATATGAAAGATCTGCTATTTCTCAAATTATAATTTTATATGAGCTTTCCATATGTTAAACAATGTATCTAGTTTCCAGCACCAAATGGAAAGAATTAGGTATAAGCAGTCAGACTTGCTTTTGAGAAAGAAATTATTTCTGCTAAAACAGATATAATTTTCTTCAGATTTGCAAAGCAGTTTATCAGCCTTCTCAAAAAACCCACAAATATTCTTTAGTATAACAATTCTTTTTGAATTGCTTAGAAATCATTAGTTTTTCTATTCCAAAGGATACCATGAAGATGCCAATCATTTTACCAGACAGGAAAACATTCTCCCCTACAGTGAATTGTGTTTGAACACAAAAAAAAGTCTGCCACACAAAGAAATCAATTATAAATTCTTAGAAAACTGGAAGTACACTCTTAAATGTAAAAGCCCCCAATTATTTTCAGTTGAAATTATTGCTTTCCACCTGTTATCACACACCACTCACAGAAAAACAATGGTCAAAAAAATAAAAACAAGACAAGTAGAAACATGTCTAATTAAGTTTGCATTGAAAAAAACTTGGTTTTCTGGTTAAGTTGGAAAGTGATTATTATGTAGGTAAAATAAAAGGTAAAGAAGAAAATGCAATTAATATCAAATGGAAAACATATCAGGAACATACCAGAAAACTGATGGGATTCTCCTCAAAATTATCTTTCTTCTGCATATTTAAGAGTATAAAAGTGCCAAATCAAATAACATTTTCATAGAATCAAAAAGATGAATATTCTTTAAACAAATTTTAGGAGATACGTTTATAAACATTAATAGTTCTACTCCAATTAACTAAAGAATTACACATAAAAGCTGTATGAAACCTTATACACAAAATAGCCATTTTCCTCCAAGCGAATGAGCTTTTCTAAAAGATGAACACTCAGAGTTCAAATGTTTTACATTATTTTCAGCAAAGTACTAGATCTGGATAATCATCTGATAAAATGCTTAAAGACAACACAGTTTCATGGTTAAATAATTATACAGTATGCATCTGGGCTACATGAAACAGCAGGTTAAAAATGAGTAGGTAATACTTTATTATATATAAACATGACATTAACTACTTTATATGCAGCCCTACCTTTGAATATAACATTCTATCTTTGAATGACTCAGTGAAAAGCAAACCTAACAGACAAAAATACTATTTGTAAGACTGATATTTAAGCAAAGATAGTCAAACTTATTGACATTTTGGATTTTATGAATATATGATATTATTCCTTTCCCAATGATCTATTAAGATTCTTCAAATTGATAATATTACACTTCATTAAAAAAACTAATGGTACAACTTCATCTTATTTTGCTAAAGCAATTAGAGAGGAGGGCAAGAAAGAACAAGACTAATTAAAGTTAAAAAGAAGTCATATTCTTCAAAAATTATGACAAGAAAGCCATTTGGTTCCCTCTGCCCATTTATTACCAAACATACGGTGGAAAAAGTTGGTTTTTGTCAAAATCTAATTTATATCAAAATTATTACAAAGCTAGCTGCTCATGAGCACCAACTCATCATTGTATAATAGTTGTCTTTTGATTCCATTCATATAACAAGTCTATCTGATATTGAAATATACACAAACAAAATGATAGAAAGTGTTAAATTCACTTCAAAATAAAATAATGACAAATGAGAGGTTAGAAGTAGGAAGGGGCCCTGATCATCTAAGAGTGCATGTGAGCCAACGACTGTTGTAGTTGGATGATAAGTATACAGGGGAGCTCACTGTTCTACTCCCTTTATATGTGAGTATTTTTGAAATTTTCCAAAATGAAAAGTAAAGAAAAAAAATTATATTGAGCTAAGTACTCAGTTTGTAAGAGGTTAATAACATAGGCAGTTGTGAAATACTATAGGTTAGAGTTGCTATTAAGATATTAGCACTTACACCATAAAATCGATTTCAATTTTAAAGTTCAGTTCAGAACAAAGAATAACATAGACTAGTAAAAGTAATTTGTAATTTTGACTTAAAGAACATGATTAAATAAGTAATATATGTACAATAACTTTATTTGTAGCTGCATCTGAGAATTAACATGACTACATGACTATTCTTGAAAGGGAAATCATGGGAATAAAGGACTTGAAATTGGACAAAACCCAGGAATGTTCACATTGAGGATTAAGCAAAATTCAATCAAAACTAATAGCAGGATAAGGAAACCTAGCAATTTGAAAAAGACATATCACAAAAGATAGTCTAAAATAAAAGCCTATATAAATGAAGCTCAAGAGGCATGATTTGATTGCCTCGAGTTTAGCCACCTAAAATAATGATAAAAATATTTAAGACTGTGTTAGCAGGTAGAGAATTTATCTTGGAATAAATTGTACCCTTACTAACTTGAAATTTTCTAAATTCTTGTATTACAGAATACAGAAATGGTATCTGACACAGTAGTACTTCATAGCTCTCCAATTTGGAGGAGTTGGGAATGGAAGTGAATGGAGTAGCACAATTTGAATGGGCTTTGTGGGTATAACACACAACTCAGAAAGACACAATCCTAGCATGAAAGCTAAAGGACAGGTTACTTTTGAAGGAAAAGATACAGAAAAAATTGGCTACAGAAAGTATGTACTTTCCGGTAACTGAGGTAAAGTGCACTAAAAATCAAAAACTGTAGGAAACCTGGCCAATTTAAGACCTTGGGATCCATAACCAAGACAGTGGGTAGCAGAACAGGTACCATGAAGTTATCAGCTTTACTTAGCAGGAAATCCAACAACAAGACTTGAGAAGAAATCTATTTGAAAGTTATTCTAAATGCAGAAAAACCCTTCCCTGCACCTCAGTTCAAGTAACACTAATCAAAAGATATGGTTCTAAGTCTCTCTCTATCTCATTCTACCATACGGTGACTTTGACTGTATAGGTAAATCACAAGTGTTTTTGAAACTCATTTTCTCCACCCATAAAGACACCACTGCAACACACGCCTTTACCCAGAGGACTGTGGAAGAATCCAGTGAAGTAGTATAAAGGAAAATACGTTGCAAACCATGGAAACCTATTGCTAATCTATTATTATTTACTAACATATATACCATTGTGTATGTTTCAACTTGGACAATAACGAAGTCCTACAATTCACTTACGGATGGGGGCAAGGGGTAGAAAAGGGACAGGGATATTTCAGAAAGAATCTGACTCAAGTATCAACAAGACTTAAGAAACATAATCTTGCTCATCCAACTTTTACTATTCTATTTCATTAATAAGAGCTTGTAGGGATTGCTGCTATAAAACATTGCAGCATCCTTCCACAATTTTACATTTTAAAAATTGTGTTAAAATAATTCAAAACTCCAGTTATTTAAAAACAGGCCAAAATTTAGAGTTTAGAAAACGCTTTTACGCTGTACACTGTATTTGCCCTTCTCAGCATTTATCAAAGGTTAATTATGTCATTTGTTTAACGTCTCTCTCTTTCTCCTCTACTAAATTATAAACAAGTGTTTTTGAAATGTAGAACTCACAAATCCTAGAGAATATATTTTGGATTCTAATTTGAGACACACTGCATTAAAAGTTAAATGCTATCACTTAAGTGATCAGTGTAAGTTAAAGTGAATGTAAAAACAAATAAGGTGGATTCTGGGAAGATGGCAGAATAGGAAACACCACAAATTTGTCTCCCTACCTAGATAACAATTGCATTGGCAGAATCTACTTGATATAACTATTTTGGAATTCTGTAATCTATCGAAGCCTTGCAACTTCCAGGGGAAGTAGTGAATGGTAAACTGTGGTTAATCCAGTCAATTTCAGTACTTAGCACAGTAGCAGCTACCCAACTCCCACCCCTCAGCCTTGTAACAGACAGGTGTGCAAGTGTTCCTAGAGCAGCTGGCACAAGGCTTGCACAAGCCAGGGTGGGCAAAAAAGGACCCTGTCCTCCAAATATAGGCGATCTGTGCTCTGACTGCTTCTGATCACAGAGGTGCAGACAAAGAGACAGTGGCCACTATTGTTGAACCTCCTTCAAATGAGGCAAATCCTTCCCCCTCAGGCTGAAGTGACCTCCAGGGCATTTAAAGGGCAAGCAAATCCTCCTACCATTTCATTTTTCTCTTTTTTCCCTTTTGAGAGTCCGACAATGAAGATTAGGATATTCAAAAGCAACCACATATATAAAGGAAATTAGAAAGTCACTGCACATGCCCAGGGAAAGTACAGGCACAGAAAAGACCCAAGAAGACCTTAAGTTTATACCAGAAGCTGATTCTTAGCACAGAGATAGCCCAAAACAACCAAAAAACAAACTCAGAAAACAGCAAACTCTACAGAAGGGGGGAGAATCTGATTTCCAGAGTTACCACATCCTAAGATTCAAATGTCTAGTTCTCAGCAAAAATCACAAAGCATGCAAAGAAACAGGAAAGTATGGTCCATCCAAAGGAGGAAAAAAAAAGCTGTCTCTGAAAAAGATGTGGTGAATTTACCAGACAAAGACTTTTAAAACAACCATCTTAAAGATGTTCAAAGAACTTAAAAATGAGGTGGACAAAGTAAAGAAAATGATGTATGAACAAAATGGAAATATCAATAAAAGACAGAAAATCTAAAGAGAAACAAAAAGGAAATTCAGGAGCTGAAAAGTACAATAATTGAAATGAAAAATTCACTTGAGCGATTCAAAGGCAGATTTGAGCCGGCAGAAGAAAGAATCAGTGAACTTGAAGGTAGAACAATGGAAATTATTAACCTTGAGAAGAGAAGGAAAAAAGACTGAAGAAAAGTGACCACAGTCTAAGGGACCTGTGGGCCACCATTAAGAAGATCATCAGACACACTGTGGGAGTCCCAGAAGGAGAAGAGGGAGATCAAGAGGCAGAGAATATCTGAAGAATTAATGGCCAAAACATTCCTAAATTTGA